CCCCAAAACCCCAAAACCCCGTCTTACAACTTATTTTCTATAAAAATTGAAATAATATGAAATTACATAGTAGACTTTTAAATTTAATCAAAGATAATAAACAACCAGTATATTAGACAAGTTTTTAGTTATATGCCTAGTTCAGAGAAAGAGATCCTTCAAAGATTACAATACTCTAATCAAGATATGCTGCTATCAGAATTGTAATAATTTACATTTAACTTGTTAAAATAGGTGTAAAATGATATTTAAGAAACTCAAATTTGTGATATCTGCAGAAGCGGAGAACCAGAAGAAGATAATTAAGTTGTATTTTGTGAGTTATGCAATGTTGGAGTTCATTAAACTTGCTATAAGCGAGAACTATAAAATGAGATACCTCATCAAGCTTGGTTTTGCCCTAGATGTCTGTACCTTATGAATAATAACTAGACCTCCGATCATATAAAATGCTTTCTTTGTGAAAAAATTATGGGTGTGCTTATTTAAGTTTACGGAGAGGCTAAGTTTATTTAAGGCAAATTAGTAGCAGCAACAGAATGGGTCCATATCACCTGTGTTAATTGGATAAAAGAGATTTATTTTGAAGAATCTAGTGAGATGCATGATTCATAAGGAAATGTAACTCAAACTGATTATTACTCAGGGACATCTGGAAGAATAATAGGCCACATACCCTAGTAGAACTATCAGATAAAATGCCATCTTTGTGATTTTAAAGGAGGAGTTTGCATTAAATGCGATTACAGATATTGCAATTTGAGTTTTCATGTCAGATGTGCTATCGATCATGATATTATAAGAAGTTATGATCTAATGAAGAGAGATAAGTATGATGAGAATTTGATATACGTCTACTGCCAGAAGCATTAATAACCACCTATTTAATAAAAAGTAGCTAAATAAAGTAAGATTGTTTTGAAAGTGGGAAATGAAACAGTATAGAATAAACAAAAAATCTAGCATAAAGATAATGATAAAAAAAATTAAATAGCAACTCCAGAGGAGAAGGAATTTGTTATGCTATTTGATGAGGATTCTCAAATGAATGAAGTTGAAGAACTTTAAAATTCAATGAATCTTACTACTATCCATAGTACGCCTTAGTAAATGAATATAATAAGTAATTGAACACTATAAATTAAACTCAATTAAAGCTAATCGGAAGTTTAGAAATGGTATTCAAAAATAATCTAATTTATGATAAATCTTTAAATATACATTTCCTTTCATACCAGTTTCAAAAGCCTTTTATATCGATTTTTTAACCATATCAATTCATAAATTTTGTCCAAGAAATGCCTTGCACATCTCTTCTATATTTTCAGTATTAATTTTTTCTCCAAAAAGCTTGAAGTATTTCCTTATCTCATTATCATTTACATCATCAGTCAAATCCTTTCCATCTTCAGCTCTCATATCATAGAAGACTGATCTATTTGATGGCTAGTAATCATCAAACTTGAGATAATCATCCAAATCATCAGGATTTTTTTCACCTATTTCCATCTTATTTACTTTATCTATGAATAGCTCTTTTAGCTCAATTGATAGGCAGCTTAAAGGCACTAAAATTTTGTAAAGATGAAAATTATAATCAATTTTCCTTCTAAACTATAGTGGAGGCTTTACACTATTCTCAAGATAAAATCTAAAGATGACTCGAAGTTCATCATTAAATGCACAGTACTTTGGTAAGTTTACGTAAATTCTGAGTAAATCTAAGATACTAAGGTTATCGTCCTTGTCCTCATCCAGCATCTTAAAGACTAAATGATTCATTCTTGTTGTATCAAGATCTAACTCTGCAATAAAACTGTACATAAACTAGGAAAACTTGACTTCATAGTTTTTTAGTCCTTTGCTGAAGTAATTGAACATAATTAGCGCAAGGAGATCATTCCCTTATTCTCCATATATAAGTTTTAAGCCTTTTTTGCAGGACTTTAAAGTCATTCTAAGTTCGTGATCATAATCAGCACCAGGATCAATACAGAGTTGCCTAAATACCAACTCATACCTGTCAAAGTCAAAATTCTTAAGCCTCATCTTAAGATATAAAATTTCTCTTTCCTCATTTGAGAACTAAACGTCTTTCAAGTCACTTAAAACTTGTATAATGTTGCCTCTTCTCTTGTTTAATTTACTCAACTAATTCTACTTCTTAATCTTCTTATAAATCATATTTTCATAGTTTTAACCAGTTATCTTTGACACAAATTCTATAGATATTCTTGGAAGCCCAAAGACAGAGAATTCAATTTCCTAAAACTCCTCAAACGTCAAGACTACTCTTTAAGTATCAACCTAGTCCATAAGATATGTTTAAAATGACTCATAGTTGATTTCTTTAGAGGCCATCTTTTGAGCAAGCTTATAGTCTTAATTCATTCTCTATGGATCAAGAACAACTTTGCCCATTGTTCCTTCTGCAAAGTCTTAATTCAAGAGTTTATTAAAGACTAATTGCTCGTCTTCAGAATCCATTTCTTCAATTGGTTCAGAGTCAGGATTATTTTAACGATTTTATCTTTCCATGACTAATTTAAAGAATTTCTTGGCTTTTTCAACTCTATCTTCTAGATAAAAAGGCTTCCTATGCTCTTTGGCTAGGTTACCATGATACTTCATTATATTAATTCCTAATCTTACTGAGTCAGATTTTCCCTGACTCTCCCTCTTCTTGCTCAATTATTATAGGACTTTTTAGATATCATCATTCAATAAAATCATTAATTTTTCATTATTTAGCTCTTATAGGCATTTAAACAGGTCTACATCACATAGCTTTCCATCTTGGTTCATATCTAGCATCGAAAAAAACATTCTCTGAAAAAATTCCTTATTACAATTCATCACTTTCTCAGCAGAATCATGATAGTTGTGAATATCATGAGAAATAAGCAGTCTAACTTAGTTTTTCTTCATTCTCTTATAATGATTCAATCCAAATAAACCATAGTCTTGAATCAAGCACTGCTTAAATTTTTTACGATCAAATTCTCTATCTTGTTGATTATGGAAAAATTTGTAAGCATTTTTAAAACTTTCGGAGTTTTTATCAAGAATAAAGCTCTATATTTGACTTTACTTCTTCTGTAAGGGAAGATGATTATTGCTCCCTGATTACTTCTAACTTAATTGTTAATTCACTCCTTAGTCAACTTTAGAGTTTTTACCTTCAGTTACATTTAGTATCTTCAAGTTTAGTGTCTTGAGTTTTTCTATCTTGTTTGTGCTCTCAAGATCGTCATTCTATGATTTGTTTTTAAATTTTAGAGCAATAGAGGATGGCTGTTAAATGTAATTTTATATCGCATTTTTATCTATCATTGGTAGATTAAGCTGATTTTATGAAGGTGAGTTTTAATTAATTCTTTTCTGAGATTGCTTATTCTTTGAGTTAAATTTATACAATTCCTTCTTTTGCAGCATATTGCTATCTCTTCTAGCCTTGATTATATCTTAATTATCTTCAAAATTGCCTGAATTTTTGTGAATTCTTGGGACTCTGCTTTTTTAATAATCCTTTTATCTCCTATTTTGCTGATTCATATATGATATTTCTGATAACTAATAGGATTGCATACTATCCACTGATAAATCTAAACTCTTTAAGCTTAAATAGTTATTTGGATCTTGGTCAGCATACCTATATATTTTATTCTTTATGTTCTACATATCTTTGTAGTCACTGTTGCCCTAATTGTGATTGTCTATTGTACTTCTTCTCATTCTCAACATATCGACAGATGAATTAACCATATTTCTATTATTAGAGTTGTCCTTTTTAAATTTCTAATTTGATTTTGGTTTATACAAAGTAGAATATGGATTATCTGTATCAATACTAGCCTGCTTATTCATCTTAAATGACTTGGTAAGACTCATAATCTCATCATCTAGTTATTAGCCTATTTATTGGTTCATCTCTAAATCATTGTCTATTGAGCCGTTACCGCCATGATCTTTGCTAGTAGCTTTCCTTTGAATTTTATCAATTTGGAACTGCCTTCTTTACTGTTATAGTCTTATTAGTTCTAACCTCTGCTAATTTTCCTCTTCCTCGATTTAAACAAACTTTTGCATATACCATTGAATTTTCTAATTCTTTAAATGCTCATCTAGAATTTTTTCGTCAATAAATTTGTCTTTCAGATTTTAGTTAAGTGACTGATTGAACGATCTGCTATGCTAATCCATACTTTATCTGCTTCTAGTATCCTCAATCGATTAAAAAGGTCTAATTCTTTAATCATAGTACTGAATGTTCTTGTGTAATAGGGGTTGCTTGTAATCGATTCCATCATCGTAAATTCCTCTTTTCCTGGCCTTATCTTTAACCATTCTTAAAATGCGAGGGTTTTGCTGAACTTTATTCATGAAGTCCCCAAGTACATCCTACTTCCGTCCCTCTGTCTATCCACCCAACTGATTCGACATGAATGTACTTTTTCTGTCTATGAGGGGGCCAATTAGTTCCTCTTGATACAGTAAGTTATCTGGTTTGGAAAATCTATTAAGTGATGCGAAAGTTCTTTCTATCCCTATTTTATTATTCATTAGAGTAATAATATATTTAGTAATAATTTCAACACTTATCTCAACATTGCTTTTTATAGAAGAAGGGGTTTTGGGGTTTTGGGG